GCCCATCATCATTAACACTGTCAGAGCATATGCCCCTTCATAATGAATCTGATATTTGTTAAGCCATAAATGGTTATTCATGCTTGATTGTAGGAATGCTAGATTGTTGGCATTTGAAAGCTGTTTTGATGCATAAAATATTGTGTTTTGTGAAGTGGTGGCTCCCACCTGGTGGAACAGACTACCTGAAGCTGTCAGGTAGTTTCACAGAATGTGCAAAACAGAAATGTTTGGGGGGACATTCTTATAAAGGGATCAGAACTATAGTATAGTGCAGGGGTGGCCAAACTTGCTTAATGTAAGAGCCACGTAGAATAAATGTCAGATATTTGAAAGCCGCATAACATGAATATTACAGACATGTTTTTATTGAAAAATACGCAAATCTGCTTTTTATTAACATTAAATGAGACTGCCAAAAATAAAAACAAAAGGGGTAAAAATAGATATTGATAACGATATTTATTTGTCCAATATTTGTAGGCTGGGGGGGTGGGGCTTTGAAAATGTATTTGAAGTCAAAGATGCTTTCTTTCTCTGCTCCCCCCTGCCTCAAGTCTACCCAGGAAGGGGAACACTGGCTGGGGAAGGAAAGACCGATTGGGGAGGCATGCCTCCCCTCCGCTTCCCCAGCTACCCTCCCGGGAACCACACAATATGTGTGAAAGAGCCGCATGTGGATCCCGAGCCACAGTTTGGCCACCCCTGGTATAGTGGATCAGCTCTCGACATCATTTCCATGAGGGATAGTAATGTAGTCTGTTTGAATGTTTTTTAAAAATGTATTCTACCCCTACCCCTTTTAACTGAAATTCAGGCTTCTCATGCCCTACCCCTTTTAACTGAAATTCAGGCTTTTCCCCTCTGTAACCCTCTCTTTAGTAAGAGACATGAAATCTTGGACAGTTTGGTGCCTTTCTTTCTTTTTTGCTTGCATTGTATTCCATAAGAACATTAGAACCCTGCTGGATCAGACCAGTGGTCCAACTGGCCCAACATCCTGTTTCACACAGTGGCCAACCAGTTCCTCTGGAGGGCCAGCAACAGGGCATAGAGGCCAAGGTCTTACCTTGATAAAAAATAAAAAGAGCCCTGCTGGATCAGACCAGTGGTCCACCTAGTTCCTATGGAGGGCCAACAACATGGGAACAGAGGCCAAGACTTTCACCTGATGTTGCCTCCTGGCACTGGGATTCAGAGGCTAAGTGCCTCTGAACATTGGAGGTTCCCCTCAGTCATGATGGCTAATAGCCACTGGTAGACCTCTCCTCCACAAATCTGTCTAATCCCCCTTTTAAAGCTGCCTATGCCTGTAGCCATCAGCAGAAAATTACACATTTTTAATCCAACATTCCAGTTCTTCAGTTCTAGGCCATTGCACTGTTTTGTCTAGTAAGCTGCTTGACTGAATTGTTTTACATATTTTGCAATTTACCCATCGGGAAAGCTGAGACCTTAAAATGCCAGATGAGATTCCCCCCCACCATCACACAAGTTCCCCTTGCCTTCTCAAAGTAACAGTGACTTGGTGACTTACTTTGAGATGAAAACAGGCCACAATGGGTAATTTCTTCATAGTGAGTTGTTTGGTAGATTCTTGGTAGCTATGGCAACCACTACATTTGATTTTGGCACTGCTTCCTAAATGTTCTGGCCTTGTAAACCTGCCAAATATGGTAAGAGAGAGGATGTCACTGCATAGGTAGGGGGGAAAAACACCATAATATCACACCTGGTATTTCTATTGCAGTATCTGATAACTTTCAGCAATGCTACCTCTAGTTTATTAGCCCTTTTCAGTAGAAGCCAGCTCAATCTCTTCAAGTCTCTTGCTTGCAAAAATATAACTCTTTCTAGACACCTGCCCTGAGAACACATGTTCTGCAAAGAATATGGGGCGGGGGAGTGACAGCAGAACCATTTGTACAAGCTGTCGTCAAGGTGGGCTGTGATCCCTTTGAGGAGGCATTTACACCCACCGTGCAGTTGCTCATGAAGTCAGGCTTCTCTGAAAATGAAATAATTTTGTTCTAAAGAGACCCCCACACTGATCCAATTTTCATTCAATGGCCAATAGAGACGTGGCTGCCATGAAGAAAGACAGTCCCATTTTAGTCATCCACAAAAAATAGGATGTGACGCTTCTCACTTTACCAGCTCTTTCTGTGTGCTTCCCTCTCCCAAACCAAACCCGACTGCAGTAGTTGCAGCTCAGCTAGTGAAGCCTGTTCTGTAAGAGGGCCAAACTGTAGGATGCTTCTCCAGGTTCCAGCCCAATGCATGGACCTTCTGGACAAGGGGAGCTGTATAAACGCACGGCCATCACTTCAAAACCTTATCACAAGGTCCTCCCCCCAAGTCTGGAAACCTAAAACAGCCACTTGTCTCTCAGTCTCCTTATTCTCATGGCTCCACTCAGTTTATTCAGTCCCTCTCGGAGTGAAATGATGCAACGTCTGCGCTTTCAGCAAGGCCTTCCTCTCCTCTCTGGCAAAATGGTTGCTCGTTCTGCAGCAGCACCTATTCTCTGTCATGATGTCTCAAAACAGGTGAGAAAGGTGCCTGTTCTCCCGGATTTTGGGAACTGTTGCAAAACTGAACTGTTGACAGTTAAGAGGAAATGGGGTTTGCTTTGGCTGTTGATATTTGCTTTTAATGTTCTTTGTTGATATAACTCTTTTAACACTATGTATTAAGCTGCTTTGGGTCCCCTTTTTCTAGGAAGGACAGGGTAGAAGAATTTTTAACACATAACATTACTGATCGTGATCGCATAAAATTTGTTTGTCAACACAGTGGTTTGAGCTATTTGTACATCTTACTGTAACAGAACCTCGACACCATCTGTAAGGGCATCACCTTCAATGTGTGTGCGTGTTAAGTACCGTCAAGTTGATTCCAACTTATGGCGACCCTATGAATCAATGACATCCAAACTGCCCCATTATTAACAGCCTTGCTCAGGTCTTGAGAACTGAGGGCTGTGTCAATTATTGTCAATAAGTGTGTCAGTAATGGAGTCAGGTGGGGTTGCCGTGTTGCTCTGAAGCAGCAGATCCAAGTTTGAGTCCAATGGCACCTTTAAGACCAACAAAGTTTTATTCACGCTATAAGCTTTCTTGTGCAAGCACACTTCATCAGATTACTGAGTCAATCCATCTCATCTTGGGTCTTCTTCTTTTCCTTCTGCCTACAACTTTTCCTAGCATTATTGTCTTTTCCACTGACTCTTGTCTTCTCATAATGTGACCTACGTACAATAGTCTCAGTTTGGTCATTTTAGTTTCTGGGGAGTTCCAGCTTGATTTGATCTAGAAGACACTTGTCTTTTTGGTGGTCCACGGTATCTGTACAACTCTCCTCTAACACCACATTTCAAATGAATCAGCAATCTTCCTGTCAGTTTCTTCACTGTCCAACTTTTGCACCCATACATAATAATGGGGAATATTATAGCGTGAATCATCTTGGTCACCGGTGACACATCCTTATACTTAAGTATATTTTGAGAGCCAGCATGATGTAGTGGTTAAGAGGAGCGGCCTCTAATCTGGAAACTGGGTTTGATTCCCCGCTCCTCCACATGAAGCCTGCTGGGCCAGTCCACATGAAGCCTGCTGGGCCAGTCACAGTTCTCTCAGGACTCTCTCCGCTCCACGTACCTCACAAGGTGACTGTTAAGGGGAGAGGAAGGGAAGGCATTTGTAAGCCACTTGAAGACTCCTTTGGGTAGAGAAAAGCAGGGTATAAAAACCAGCTCTTCTTCTGTCTGGCTCCTTCATGGCTGCCCTTCCCAGTTTCAATCTCCTTCTGATTTCTTGGGTGCAGTCTCCACTTTGTTTGATGATGGAGGCAAGGAATAGAAAATCTTGACCAATTTCCATTTCTTCATCATCAACCTTAAAGCTGTGTAATTCCTCAGTAGTCATTACTTTTGTCTTCTTGATGTTCAGCTGTAATCCTGCTTTGGCACTTTCTGCTTTAAACTTCATCAGGAGTCATTTCAAGTCTTCACTATTTGCTTCCGGTAATGTTAGCCGCCCTGAGCTGTTGGATAGGGTGGGATATAAATCCCAAAAATAAATAAATAAATAAATAAATAATGTGGTGTTGTCTGAATTTCTCAAATCGTTAATGACACTTTCACCAATTTTCACTCCACCTTAATCTAAATCCAATCCAGCTTTCCTCATTATACGTTCTGCATATATATTGGAAAGATAAGGAGATAAAATACGTCCTTATTTGACACCTTTGCCAACTGGAAACCATTCTGTTTCTTCATATTCTGTCCTAATAATAGCTTCTTGTCCAGAGTACGAGTTGAATATCAAAGCAATCAGATGTTGTGGAAGACCAATTTATTTTAAAACCAATCACAACTTTTCGCGATTCACATAGTCAAAAGCTTTGTTGCAATCTATGAAAGAAAGATTTTCTTCTGAAGTTCTCTTGTATGCGCCAGTAATCAATGTAAATTTGTTATATGATCTCTATTGTCTCTTCCTTTTCTGAATGCAGCTTGAACACTTGGCATTTCTCATTCCATATATAGTAGCAGTCTTTGCTGTAAGATTTTTGGGCATCACTTTACTTGCATGAGAAATTAATGTGATGGCCCAATGGTTGCTGCAATCTTTGACATCTCCTTTTTTTGGGAAATGGAATGTAAACTAAGCATTTTCAGTCTGTGGGCCATAGTTTTATTTTTCACATCTATGCAGCCTCTACCCAGTTGCTAATGCTTATTTTATTTATTAAAAACATTTCTATGTCATCTGTCCACCCAAATAGGTTTCTAAGGTGGGAGCAAACATTCTTTGTCTAATTTCTGACATGCTTCAGCAGGCAAAACACATAGTAACAGGGTTTTTTTTAAAGGGGGGGGCTTTTAAAAATCTAGACAGACCAGATGTGCCTCCCTCTCTTATTCGAGTTTCTTCATGAAAAACACAACCATTACCTTTACATGTGTAATCAATCCTCGGGTGGATGTGACTGATCTCTATTGTCTCTTCCTTTTCTGAATGCAGCTTGAACACTTGGCATTTCTCATTCCGTATATAGTAGCAGTCTTTGCTGTAAGATTTTTGGGCATCACTTTACTTGCATGAGAAATTAATGTGATGGCCCAATGGTTGCTGCAATCTTTGACATCTCCTTTTTTTGGGAAATGGAATGTAAACTAAGCATTTTCAGTCTGTGGGCCATTGTTTTGTTTTTCACATCTATGCAGCCTCTACCCAGTTGCTAATGCTTATTTTATTTATTAAAAACATTTCTATGTCATCTGTCCACCCAAATAGGTTCCTGAGGTGGGAACAAACATTCTTTGTCTAATTTCTGACATGCTTCAGCAGGCAAAACACATAGTATCAGGGTTTTTTTTAAAGGGGGGGGGGGCTTTTAAAAATCCAGACAGACCAGATGTGCCTCCCTCTCTTATTTGAGTTTCTTCAAGAAAAACACAACCATTACCTTTACATGTGTAATCAATTTCTCCTATTGCATCCTTTTATGTAATTATGCTTAATGCCATTCTTGGAACATCATCCAAATTTATCTACCTTCATCTAGCGTTAACCTTCACTGAAATCTTAATTGACAGCTTTACAGTCCAAGAGCTTCCAATGTTGCTTTGCCTGAACTCATGTTTTAAGATACAAAATAGAAGATAAAATGATTGCAGACAAGGAGGTCTTTGCAACATCAGTACAGAAAGGGCAGAACCAGAGGTCTAGTTTAACGAGTATTCTAAGACTTTTCCTCCCTTCAAATGTAGGCACCCTGGGGCTTTGCAAAGGAAAACATTGTATGACAGACATTTTTTAACCCTTTTGTCCTACATAGAAATGTCACCCTCAAGCACCCGTATTTTTCCCCAGCAGCAACAATCGTAGTTTGGGGATGATGTTTCCCAGGAACCAAATTACATGGGAGAAAAAGTTTAAGAAGCCCTTCCCCCCACACTGCATTGTTACCCCCAGTGGCTCACTGTGCAAAACAAAAACACAGTACTACATGAACATGTAGGTCCACCATAAGACCCTAGTCTGATACATGCCTAGCTTTCACTTGGGTCTGTACTGTACCATGTCACATAACTGAATGCGCCTCTATTCCCTGCTTGTGAGAATACATGAGATCTTGTATGAAGATAATTATTTCTGTAGGGTGGCACATTCTATCCTTCGAGTCCCCACTAGCCATCTGAAGTGCTTTTGACCAAACCCCAGTCCATGAACTCCATTGGAAACAGGCTGCCTGGAACCCATGAATCTCTTTGCATCTTTGGAGCTTCATAGCTCCTGTTGATCCCAGAACCACAAGAAGATGCCTCCTAAACCTCGACACACCATCTCTGATTTCTCACCATTTGTATGCTGAAGTAAAACTGCCCCCCCCCATAATGAAAAGAGTTTAAACAAGTCCATCAGAACTAGGTGCACCCCATATGGCGTCTTCTGTTTGAACAGCTTTATGATGGGCATAATAAAATTACTCAGGAGGACAAACACTTTAGGGTTTAATGCAATGGGCTACTGGCTCCAGTTTTAAGGTGAAACATACTGGTTACTTACCTCGTTTGAAAGCTAACAGAAGGACTCGTCTGAATATCAGGAGGCAGTTACTTTGAAATAAAAGCTGATATGGTCTACCAAGT